CCCGATGACGCTGTAGCAGACCTCGATGACGCTGTAGCAGACATCGATGACGCTGTAGCAGACCTCGATGACGCTGTAGCAGACCCCGATGACGCTGCAGCAGAGAGAGTGAGTGAGTGTGAGAGAGAGACAGAGAGAGAGAGAAAGTGAGAGAGAGAGATAGATAGATAGAGAGACAGAGAGAGAGTGAGAGTGAGAGAGAGTGAGAGAGAGAGATAGATAGATAGAGAGATAGAGAGAGAGATAGAAACCCACAGTTCGGCCCAGGGTGAACAGGGGCGTCACCGGACCCCTTTACAGGGGGGTGCACAGAAATTTTGCCCAGCAAAATTGAGTATGACACTATTCTTCGAATTCGGTGTGTCTTGCCAAAAAATAGCTTGAGCAGTTCATGGGGTCGACTGCAGCGCTAGTGCATAATCATAAATGGGTGACAGTGTAAAGAAGGGCAATCGATACTGAAGCATAACAGCATTGCTGCGTGCCGGTTCTTCGTCAGGTCCCTCATCGTACGATTCCCCTGGCCCAGCTGCAACAGGAATGGCTTCGTCGTCTCGCCTCACTTCTGGGTTCGCATTCCTCCGAAAAAGTTCGCTGATAGCGAGCTGGCCAGACGCTTTCCTTTTTTGAGAAGACGACATTTTGAGAGGAAACAGCTCCAAAGACTCTTCAAGTGTGGTGAGACTGATGACCTAAACTAACTTACTTTCGACCACACTGTATTATTGATTTCTTCTGTTTCAAACAAACACCCAGCACGCCGCCGCAGCATGCAGTACACTTTTCATCATAACCAGGAGTTTGCAAAAAAAACAAGGTCGAATTTTTTAGGGGGTGCACGTGCCCCCTGTGCCCCTCACGGGTGACGCCCCTGGTGAACGTCTCCTACTGTGTGTGCGTGTGTGTGCGTGTGTGTGTGTGCGTGTGTGTGTGTGTGTGCGCGTGTGTGTGATACCAGGATACCATATTATATCCATGAGCAACATAGAACATTGCTACAGTAGAGGGGTGGGTGCACAAAAGAAAGAGTAGAACGTCTTGGTCACCAGGAAAGAAACTGCTTGTACAAGTAAAACACGCGCACACACACACACGCAGACATTTTGGAGGCCTTAGAAACATATACATCTTACGGGGGTGGCTGTGTGGTGAGGAGGATCCAACATAGCAAACTGTCCAGCATACCGCAGCCAACCTGAGGAAGGGATGTTGAGTGAAAATCCAATGTCCATCTCTAATTGTCAAGCAACACCTTGGAGTCACACGGCTGCCCCAAACCCCTCACGTTCTCAAGCATTTCAAGTCACCACACATCCCTTGTAGCAGTGAGGTTATTACAAAACATTTTCATTGTTCATCACCAAGCAACACCTGCCCGAATCACCCTATGCGGAGTCACAAGTCTATCCAAAAATTCACATCATAAAGTTTTTCAAGTAACCCCACCCTGTTTGACGGTGCAATGTTAAAAACAAGACCGCTTCATCCCTCCCTCAACTAAGGAACACCTGACCAAATCACTTGCCGGAACAACCGGGCATGGAATCAATTCGGCTGCCCAAATTATAAAGCACATCAGCGCCACAGAATTACCCTGAAGGCGTGTGGTTTAATGCAAGATTGACTCGTCGACTCGTTCAATGCCAAGCAACACTTACGCCAAATCAACGGGCATGGAATCATTTCGGCTGATGTTGAATGCAAGACTGACTCATCGACTCGTTCACTGCCAAGCCACACAAATCCCGAATGACCGGGCATGGAGTCACTCGGCTGCCTCGCATTATCAAGCATATCAGAGCCCAACACTACCCTTGAAGGAGTGAGGTTGAATGCAAGAATGACTCATCGTTCACCGGAAAGCAAACCACATCCCGAATAACCAGGTAAGGAGTTACAAGACTTCTCCACATTATCAAGCATATCAAAGCCCCACACTTCCCGTGAAAGAGTGAGGTTGAATACAAGACCGACTCATCGACTCGTTCACTGCCAAGCAACACACATCCCGAATCACCGGGCATGGAGTCACTTAGCTGCGCCGCATTGTCAAGCATATCAGAGCCCCACACTTCCCTTGAAGGAGTGAGGTTGAACGCAAGAATGACTCATCGTTCACTGCCAAGCAACACACATCCCGAATCACCATGTACGGAGTTACAAGACTTCTCCACATTATAAAGCGTATCAGCGCCCCACACTTCCCGTGAAGGAGTGAGGTTGAATGCAAGACTAACTGATCGACTCGTTCATTGCCAAGCAACGCACATCCTGAACCACCGGGCATGGAGTCACTTCGCTGCCCGGCATTATCAAGCAAATCAGAGCCCCACACTTCCTTTGCAGGAGTTAGGTTGAACGCAAGAATGACTCATCGTTCATTGCCAAGCAACACACATCCCGAATCACCAGGTATGGAGTTACAAGGCTTCCCCGAATGATCAAACATATCAGAGCCCCACACTTCCCTTGAAGGAGTGAGGTTGAATGCAAGACTGACTCATCGACTCATTCACTGCCAAGCAACACACATCTCGAATCACCAGGTATGGAGTTACAAGACTTCCCCACATTATCAAGCATATCAGAGCCCCACACTTCCCTTGAAGGAGTGAGGTTGAACACAAGACTGACTCATCGACTCGTTCACTGCCAAGCAACACGCATCCCGAATCACCGGGCATGGAGTCACTTGGTTGCGCCGCATAATCAAGCATATCAGAGCCCCACACTTCCCTTGAAGGAGTGAGGTTGAACGCAAGAATGACTCATCAACTCGTTCACTGCCAAGCAACAAGGATCGCAAGTAGACGGGCGTGGAATCATTTGGCTTCCCCACATTATCAAACATATCAAATTCCCACACTTATCTTGAAAGAGTGAGGTTGAATGCAAGACTGACTCAACGACTCGTTCACTGCCAAGCAACACACATCCCGAATAAGCGGGCATGGGGTCACTTGGCTCACAACATATGAAGCATATCAGGGCCCCACACTTCCCTGGAAGGAGTGAGGTTGAATGCAAGAATGACTCATCGTTCACTGCTAAGTAACACACATCCCGAATCAGCGGGCATGGAGTCACTTGGCTGCGCCGCATTATCAAGCATATCAGAGCCCCACACTTCCCTTGAAGGAGTGAGGTTCAACGCAAGAATGACTCATCGTTCCCTGCCAATCAGTACATCCCGAATCACCAGGTATGGAGTTACAAGGCTTCCCCGAATGATCAAACATATCAGAGCCCCACACTTCCCTTGAAGGAGTGAGGTTGAATGCAAGACTGACTCATCGACTCGTTCACTGCCAAGCAACACACATCTCGAATCACCAGGTATGGAGTTACAAGACTTCCCCACATTATCAAGCATATCAGAGCCCCGCACTTCCCTTGAAGGAGTGAGGTTGAACACAAGACTGACTCATCGACTCGTTCACTGCCAAGCAACACGCATCCCGAATCACCGGGCATGGAGTCACTTGGCTGCGCCGCATAATCAAGCATATCAGAGCCCCACACTTCCCTTGAAGGAGTGAGGTTGAACGCAAGAATGACTCATCAACTCGTTCACTGCCAAGCAACAAGGATCGCAAGTAGACGGGCGTGGAATCATTTGGCTTCCCCACATTATCAAACATATCAAATTCCCACACTTATCTTCAAGGAGTGAGGTTGAATGCAAGACTGACTCAACGACTCGTTCACTGCCAAGCAACACACATCCCGAATAAGCGGGCATGGGGTCACTTGGCTCACCACATATGAAGCATATCAGGGCCCCACACTTCCCTGGAAGGAGTGAGGTTGAATGCAAGAATGACTCATCGTTCACTGCTAAGTAACACACATCCCGGATCAGCGGGCATGGAGTCACTTGGCTGCGCCGCATTATCAAGCATATCAGAGCCCCACACTTCCCTTGAAGGAGTGAGGTTCAACGCAAGAATGACTCATCGTTCCCTGCCAATCAGTACATCCCGAATCACCAGGTATGGAGTTACAAGGCTTCCCCACATTATCCAGCATATCAGAGCCCCACACTTCCTTTGAAGGAGTGAGGTTGAATACAAGACTAACTCATCGACTCGTTCAATGCCAAGCAACACACATCCCGAATCACCGGGCATGGAGTCACTTGGCTGCGCCGCATTATCAAGCATATCAGAGCCCCTCACTTTCCTTGAAGGAGTGAGGTTGAACGCAAGAATGACTCATCGTTCACTGCCAAGCAACACACATCTCGAATCACCAGATATGGAGCTCCAAGACTTCCCCACATTATCAAGCTTATCAGAGCCCGACACTTCCCGTGAAGGAGTGAGGTTGAACGCAAGAATGACTCATCGTTCACTTCCAAGCAAAACACATCCTGAACCACCATGTATGGAGTTACAAGGCTTCCTCGCATTATCAAGCATATCCGAGCCACACATTTCCCTTGAAGGAGTGAGGTTGTATGCAAGACTGACTCAACGACTCGTTCACTGCCAAGCAACACACATCCCGAATCACCGGGCATGGAGTCACTTGATTGCCCCACATTATCAAGCATATCAGATCCCCACACTTCCCTTGAAGGAGTGAGGTTGAACGTGTACAGTCACCTACCTGTGCCTATATATTTGGCATAGTGCATCCATATGTAATTTGACCCCGCTTCCTATTTCACACCTTCGCGTACGCACATGCACCTCGCATGCACCAGCGGTAACTGTTGCGTGCCTGTGCTGTTTACATGCCTACTCTGTTCCTGGTGTTCGGGACTTCTCCTTCTGTCTTCATCAAGTATAGTTGGTAATTCCTACCGGAGTGTGATGGTTGTGTTGGATTGAGAGAGTGTGCATGGGCATTTATCCTTAGTGCTGTTGCAGTAACGCAACACTTGGTGTCAGAACTGGTACCCCGAACCCTCGCCACCGGACCCGCTCGCCATGGCGAAATTTCAGCCCCCTGAAAGCTTCGACTTTTCCGCACCTGAGAATTGGCCCCGCTGGAAAAGCCGATTCACACGCTTCCAGATTGCTACCAAACTCTCTTCCGAATCCGCAGATGTCCAAATCTCCACTCTCATCTACTCTCTGGGCCCAACTGCGGATGATATCTTCCAGCGTGAGTTGTCCTTCGCCCAAGATTCCGACAAGGACGACTTCGATAAAGTGGTCGATGCTTTCGACAAGTACTTTGCACCTGCGGACAATGTTATCCACGAACGGACGCAGTTCGCTCGTCTCCGTCAGCTCCCCGGTGAGTCCGTAGCCACGTTCTCAAGCCGACTCCACTCTGTCGCGGCGAGATGCCGTTTCGACAAGCCGTCAGAACGGATCCGCGATCACCTCGTCGCCCACATGGCTGATTCTGAAGTGAGTAAGGCGATGCAGAAAAAGGACATAGGCTCCCTCACCCTCGCCGATGTTCTCAAGGAGGCCAAGGCAGCTGAGACCCTCGAAATCCAGCTAGCCACTCAACGCTCCGCAGCCACTCAGCCCTCCGTCGCAGCCGCTGTCGCTCGCGGACATCACAAACAATCTCGTGGAACTGGCAGACCGAAGAATGCTCCCGCTGCATCTCGCCAGTCCGCGCCTAGCTACTCGACACGTGGCCCTCCAGCAACCTCTGCTCCGCGCGCTCCCTGCTCCGGCTGTGGCTCATCCAGTGGTCACTCGCGCCGCGAGTGTCCTGCTTGGTCCGTCGAGTGCCGTAAGTGCCAGCGTCGTGGTCACTTTGCCAAAGTGTGTCGTAGCTCTCGTCAAGTGGGCGCGAGTGAGATGTCTGACCATCCGGTGAGTGATTCTGCTAGTGCTAGTGCTAGTGCTAGTGCTAGTTGTTTTATGGGTAGTGCTTCATCCGAGTCACAGGAACCCAGTATCTGTGTTTTGAGTTCAGTATCCATTCCTGACTCAACTGAACCCTGGCTTGTTGAGCTCCCCATCAATGGCCAGTCAGTGTTGTTCAAGCTGGACTCTGGCGCAGACTGCACACTCCTGTCACTGCCTTCCTACAATAGCCTCAGTCCTCAACCTAAGCTCACCCCGATCTCCACTAAGGTCACTGGACCTGACGGCCAACCTCTACCCATACACGGCGCATTTGTTGCTGCCAGCTCCTGGAAGGACCGCAACGTCACTTTCCGTGTTATTGTTGTTAATGGCCCCAGCAACCTCCTGAGCCGCAGTGTGTGCCAGGACCTGAACCTCCTGTCTTGCGATGTGTCCGAGGCATCCGCAAGCCCTCCGTCCGCTCCTCCTGTCATTGGTCGCATGTCCGGTCCTGCAGCTACCATCGAGCTGCAAGACAATGCCCAACCATATCACTGCCAGACCGCACGACGAGTTCCCATCCACCTGCAAGCCAAGGTCAAGACCGAACTTGACCGGATGGTCCAGATGGGAGTCATCTCTCCTGTCACCGATCCGACCGACTGGTGTGCGCCCATGGTGCCCGTGCTCAAGAAGAATGGCTCCATCCGCATCTGCGTGGATCTCAAACGCCTGAACCAGTCCGTGAAGCGTTCACACTTCACTCTGCCGACCATCGAAGACACCCTGGGCAAGCTGTCCGGAGCCAAGGTCTTCTCGTCGCTTGACACGGCGTCTGGGTTCTGGCAAGTTCCACTTGCTGACGACAGTGCGTCACTCACTACGTTCATGACACCGTTTGGCCGGTTTCACTTCAACCGTCTACCCTTTGGTATCACCAGTGCGCCAGAGGTTTTCCAGCGTCGCCTACTGGAAATCGTTGGGCACATTCCCAACGTGGTCGTCTTCATGGATGACATCCTCGTGTTCGGTGCCACTCTAGCTGAGCACGATGCTGCCCTCACTGCTGTCCACGCAGCTCTCGCTTCTGCAGGCGTACTCCTCAACCCCGCCAAGAGTCGCCTCCGTATGAAGTCCCTGACGTTCCTGGGTCACCTCATCGGTGCTGACGGTGTCCGCCCCGACCCAGCCAAGGTGTCTGCCATCCAAGCTCTGAAGTCACCGACCAATGTGCCCGAGTTACGCCGTGCTCTGGGTATGTTCACGTTTCTGGCGAAGTTTGTGCCAGATATGGCCAATGTCAGTGCCCCGCTCCGTGCTCTACTGAAGGCCGACACCGCCTGGCAGTGGGACACCCAGCAAGAAACTGCCTTCTGTCGCCTCAAGGAACTCGCTACTACTGCTCCCTGCTTGGCACTGTTCTCGCCCGACCAGCCCGTCCGTATTAGTGCTGATGCCAGTAGCTATGGACTGGGTGCTGTCCTCCTGCAGCCTGATGGCTCCCGCTGGCGCCCTGTTGCCTATGCGTCCCGCTCTCTATCTCCTACTGAGCAGCGCTATGCCCAGATTGAGAAAGAGTGTCTCGCCATCGTTTGGGCATGCGAGCATTTCCACCACTACATCTACGGCGGTCCTCAGTTCACAGTCGAGACTGACCACAAGCCTCTCGTGCCTCTCATCAACTCCGCTGATCTCACCCGCTCTCCTCTGCGATGCCAGAGACTCCTGATGCGGCTGATGA